GAGATCTGTGTGGAGGAGTGGGCCAAAATCCCTGTTGCAGTGTGTGCAAACCTGGTCAAGAACTACAGGAAACGTTTGACCTCTGTAATTGCAAACAAAGGTTTCTGTACCAAATATTAACACTGATTTTCTCAGGTGTTCAAATACTTATGTTCAGCAGTGCAAGACAAATAAATTCTTTAAAAATCATACAATGTGATTTCCTGAAATTTTTTTTTAATTCTGTCTCTCAGAGTGGGAATGCACCTACAATGTGAATTTCAGACCCCTCCATGATTTCTAAGTGGGAGAACTTGCAAAATCGCAGGGTGTTCAAATACTTCTGTTCCTCACTGTAAGTATAATCTTGGATAACCTTAAACTAATTGATTTAGTAAAAAGTTGATACATGTAGTCCTTGCAATCAATTTCTCCACTGAGTGTAGCTGTACAGGCAAACACAATCTTGCATAACAATCCACCCTCGCACACAATAATCCGCAACATAAAAACATTTATTTCACAACTGTTTCTTTATTCAAAACTCAGAAGATGAGTCTGTAGATGTTTACATAGTCAATGAAGGCAAGTTCCAGAGCAGATGAGAGCCAGTTTGCAAAGTAAAAATAACTGGGGGAAGCTGGGGACTCCCTGGGTTTAACTGTACGCTAATGATGACCAGTCAACTGATCAGTGGTCTCATAATACTGACTTCCTTCCAAACTACAGCTCATACACCCTGGGCAACCCTTTACAGTAAAGTATGAACACAGTATGATTAGCTGTTATGTGAAAGTGTGTCTGTATTAATAGTGTCAGGCTCCCTTATACTTTAGAATAAAACATTAGAACTGCTACTGTCTATAACCATGTTATCAGTCTGCAGGTGGCTCGCCACCTCTAAATTTTACACTTAAAGGCTGCTGCATGTTGGCCTAAATGATACAACAGTAAGCATCGTGCAACATCAGACAAAATCTCCACACAAAACACATTTACAAAGTATCACTCATTCACAGTCAATGTGTAACATTCTCATGCTCAGATATGTTGCTGATCAATAATGAACAATCGCAGAACACTAATCATATGCCTTGAGTCATTACACCAAAGTATTTCCTTCAGCATTTCTACATGCCATGAACTATCATAATAGAAACCAACCATACCGTTGTTGGCAGAAGTTTGATGCTAACTCAAGCACAAACTCAAATAACACACAGGGCCTTCAGCTTTCAGTCCACTTACAGTAGGTGTTGCACCAATGTTGCTACAGAAAGTTAATCTAAATTAAATATAACTTAAATAAATAAGAAGCTATTATTAAAAAGTCACTTTGTTACTGATTTAGTAGCTCTGGGAGTGTCCTGATGGCACACTGGAACAGTGTTGTTCTGTGCTCTAATAGTACAATTAACAGTGCATCAAAGGCAAATAAAGAACTCCATAATGAGCAAAGGCATTATTCTCTCAGAAGTCAAAATGTCTGTAATATTTACAGACTTAAATTCACTGTTTCCCATAACAACCTCCATGCCAGGCTTGGCTCAATTTCTGCAGTACTCATGCTGAATTAACTGGGATATGTTGAACAGTGCTGTTATTGTTACTGTGTAAGTGGAGGCAGGGAGGAGCAGCAGACGATGATGATGATGCAGAGTAGTTGTGTGTAGTATGTAAGTGGCCAGAGGAGATATGGAGGGAGATTATGAACAGATATACATGTGAGAACAAAGGGAAAAGACAGACAGAGAGCAAGGGTAATGTAAGTAATTATCAAGAGCGTGCATATAGAGTAGAAAACAAATGAGGACAAAGAAAAAAGTAAAGGGGCAGTGGAGATGTTAGAAGGGAAAAAGCTGAGGGGTTCAGTATTCATCCTGGTCCAGATGAGCTTGTTCATCAATGTCCTCATCATCCGGAGGTGCAAAGCCTTCCTGAGATACATAAAAAAAGACACTTGGGTTTTCATCTTTATTTTCCATTAACTTTAAAAAGCATTTCTTTCATTGGACTTTCTGAAAACATGAAGCATGTTGTTAGCATTTATGTTCTATATAATAAGACAATTTGGCATCTGTTACCGCACTCTCTGTTAGAGGATGAAACTTTTGTGAGTTCAACAAAATTAAACAGCAATTAATTTGTTAGCATCAACTGGCACTCCGAGGCTGAGAAATGAAGCCAATGCGGAAGTGTTAAAACCTGCAGTTCCTTGAATGGCCACTTGAGGCCGACTCCAACTTTACACCAGAAATAAACTGGGTGTACATCCTGGTACAAAAAACGGTTTTGGTCTCTTTAGCTAATTTCCCCTTTTATGACAACTGTAATGTGAATGCGAATGTTTTTAGTAGCTTGCCCGTTTAAATGATATTGAGACTAAAAGTTAGGCATTTAATTAAGGGCGTGGCTATTTTAAGTGACAGGTGGGAAGGTCCCGCCATAGGTGGGTAGGTGCTAGCTGCTAGTTGTCTAGGTAGCTAGCTAGCTAGCTAGCTAGCTCCGCTCCGCTCCGCTCCGCTCCGCCCCACCTCACCTCACCTCACCTCACCTCACCTCACCTCACCTCTCTGCCCACTTTTGGATTAGCCGTAGCGGACGAGGTGAAGCATTACGAATATAGCGACCACCAGACTTGAGCTTCAAAACCTCACTTCAAAAACCACGGGAGACGCAAAGGTGGGTTTGTCTGTCTTTTATATACAATCAGTGGTTAGCATACATAAAATATACTGCTGCCATGAAAATGCAGACATTTCTGTCATCTAACTTGCTTGCGTCCATATCCATGATATTCGCCAACATTCTTATCTATTTTTCCAACTTTTTAGCTGTAATGTCTGTTGTCTAAAAAATTCTATTGTCCGGTCTTGTCTGCCCTGTTGTTATTAGAAACACATCTTAGCTAGGTTTATAAAAGGGCTAGGACCATATAAATGTAAACTTCTCCCCACTCCCTTTCGAACATGTGATATTATGAACATGCATAATTATTTATGTTATTATGTTACTGCTCAGTTTATTAGTTGCTGTGTTGCTGCTGTTGTTGTCAGTTTAATGGTTATTCTTGTTTTTTGTTTTGCTAGTTTTTGTTTAAAAAAAAACAAACTTTTTTTGTTTATTTTTTGTTATATGTTCAAAATAAAGTAATCTAAACTATGCCAAACTAAACTAAAACTAAACTAATGCTGGCACCACTTTTTCTGTTGAGCCAGAGCATTTAATTTGCTGTTTTCTAGGGTTTATGGGAAATTGTGTTTTGAATAGTCACTAAAATATACAGTAATGCGGTCGATGTACCGATCCGTCGTGGTGAAGAAGGAGCTGAGCTGCAAGGCGAAGCTCTCGATTTACTGGTCAATCTACGTTCCGACTCTCACCTATGGTCATGAACTTTGGGTCATGACCGAAAGAATATATATAATGTATAAACAACAATACCATTAAAAATGACCTAAATATATGGGCTCAGCCACATAACATACTGTCATGTCCAATTATATTTCAAGGCAGGATTTTTAGTAGTTTCTGTTATTACAAAGTTGCAGTGTCATTTCAATTGATTATGGTAATTCACTTTCAGAAAACAATATGCAGATTGCAATAGTGCAGTGCCGTGTGGATTTGTTGTCGGTGCATACATACCTCTGTTGCGTAGAGAATGTCAATTATCCTGCTAAGGATGGGGTTGTTTTCACTCTCGTGTTCTTGGCAAATCAGCTCGATGTCCCGAAGTTTGCTGAAGTAGAAGTCTCTCTCCTTCTCTAGTCCATCTACAGTCAACTTCAACTCCATCAACTTAGGAAGGAAAGAGAAACAGAGATTTATGCTCACAGTCTCCAAAAACTATTTTGAATTATATAGTCAGAAAAAAAAACAGCCACAAGTGCTATTATCATTAATATTATTACAAACACATGGTGCTAACACCAACAAGAGCAGGATGTCGTTCCCCCCCCTCCTCCTTTTTTCACTGTTCTGAAATTGAAATTGAATTGAAATTCATTGACAGTGAAAGAAAGCAAAAAAAGGCCTAATAATGCAACAAATAAATGGCTTTCAGTAGATGTGAATCCATACAGAATCCAGAAATGACACAGAAATGGTAAAAGAAAGATGACATGGTTATAGAACATAACTCTCCTTCCTTGCCATGCAACTCTACCTGCTGGTTTAGCTCCATGATCTCAGCATCACTGCCCCCATTTCTAGACAAAGTTGGATTCTTCCTCATGGCTGGAGTGTTGTGTTGGACCCGCTGTAGTGTTGGCATGTTTTTGGGAACTGTTGGAGATGTCCTCTGTGGTCCTGGATTGATCAGAATTAAAAGAGACTGACTACATTTATTTTAGCCTTGTAGCAACTGTGGTGATGGATATAGCACATTATAGAGAGCTGATATCATCAGCTTTTATATGGTGTTTTCGTGAATGGATTTCAAACAGCAGAGCTGATGTAAAAGGCACAAATTTAGATTTATGGAAGAATTTTAAAAGCCAAATTAAAACTTAAATGTTTTAAAAATCACGTTTATATGAGTCAGAATCTTAAAGACCTGCCAAACCTCTATAAGTGCTTCAGCAGAGGTGTGTCAAATAAATTCAAAAATAAAACATGCCAACACGCATTATTAGGGATGTAACGATACCCAAAACTCACGATACAATATTACCACAAGAAAAAATGAAGAAAAAAGATGAAAAATACCCTTTACTAAATAAATAAATCAGTGGTTTTTGTATGATTTTGCTTTTATCTTGAAGTGCTCCAGCTTTCCTTCTTTATAAAAGTAGCGAGCCATGACCTTAGCATGTACAAAAAAATCGGCACTCAAATAACTGAACTATTTGTACGATTGCAAAACAAACAATGCAGCAGTCCTTTTATGAAATAAAATAAAATAATATATTATTGCAGCACCTGGATCTTGTACTCCCTAAGCAGGCTCAATTTTCTCTGTTTAGTGGTTGTGGTGACCGGCGGGGTTCTCAGTACTGGACCAGTGAGCGTATTGCTGCTTGGTGCATCACAACGAAGAGAAGAAGACTCCAAAATACACTTTGACAAGCCGCATAAAGGTGAGATTTGTGCGTTACTGGAAGAGTTTTTCAAATATGCTGCTCTACTTTTTCAAGAGAACAGACTTAAGGGTTACTAAGTAGTTGGTTTTGCATTTGTGCGTCCAGTTTGTTTGCTCATTTCTGTTAAAGTGTAGTGCACAGTCATTCCCGACTGCTTCTGCAAGATGTATCCAGGATTGTCTTAGTCCTAAATGGGGTTAATATAGCTATTGTCCAGCAGTATTTGCAAATTGTTCAGCATTTTTCCTCTCCCCTCATGTCATTTCTTGAAACGGAAAAACTGAAATGCTGCCACACAACAGCTCTAAAAGTTGACAATAACATATCCACTATGTCCATTTCAAATTTTGTGATCTGAACGCAGTTATAAATAACCATATGCAGTCTGATATCATGGTAGATACAGTCACGATCTCATGACAGCATCAAGATGATTCTCTATTGTAAAATTACAAATATCGTTACATCCCAATGCATTATCACAGTCTTGAAAAATGAATGCAGTCACTTTGCCCATTTACAACCACACTGGTTGCTAGTGACAAGGTCACAGAGCAGGCTTATGGCACAGTCAAAGTCATGTTAGATTGTTCGCCATGATCTTCAAGCAAAAAGCTTTAGAGACAGCAAGGGCGCTCAGGCTGACATTACTCTTGTTAGTAAAATGAGACACTTTTCAGAGAGATGTGTTGCATCAGCTACTTGATGCAGGACACTGGGGCAAATAGCTGTATTTATTTCTTTAGATGTTTTGGCACAATTGATCATGATTAATTTGAACTGTAAAAGCAAGTTACAGTTGGTGTTGCATGATGTAAATCTCCCAATAATGACTCAGTCATACAGTGGGTACGGAAAGTATTCAGACCCCCTTCAATTTTTCACTCTTTGTTATATTGCAGCCATATGCTAAAATCATTTAAATTAATTTTTTTCCTCATTAATGTACACACAGCAACCCATATTGACAGAAAAACACAGAATTTTTTACATTTTAGCAGATGTATTAAAAAAGAAAAACTGAAATATCACATGGTCATAAGTATTCAGACCCTTTGCTCAGTATTTAGTAGAAGCACCCTTTGGAGCTAATACAGCCATGAGTCTTTTTGGGAATGATGCAACAAGTTTTTCACACCTGCATTTGGGGATCCTCTGCCATTCCTCCTTGCAGATCCTCTCCAGTTCTGTCAGGTTGGATGGTAAACGTTGGTGGACAGCCATTTTCAGGTCTCTCCAGAGATGCTCAATTGGGTTTAAGTCAGGGCTCTGGCTGGG